GGCACTGTGTTAAACATTTGCAAGCATAAATTCTTCATGATAACCCTACTAGATAGGTGATACTATTTTCTCCATTTTTAAAAGAACAAGGCTTAGAAAAGTAAGTAACGTCAGCACTTTGGGAGGCTGAGGCGGGTGGATCACCTTAGGTCAGGAGTTCAAGACCAGCCTGGGCAACATGGTGAAACCCCATCTCTACTAAAAATACAAAAAGTAGCCAGACATGGTGGCATGTGCCTATAATCCCAGCTACTCAGGAGGCAAAAGCACAAGAATTGCTTGAACCTAGGAGGCAGTGGTTGCAGTGAGCCGAGACCACGCCATTGTACTCCAGCCTGGGTGACAGAGCAAGACTCTGTCAAAAAGAAAAAAGAGAAAGAAAGAAAGAAAGAAAGATAGAAAGAAAGAAAGAAAGAAAGAAAGAAAGAAAGAAAGAAAGAAAGAAAGAAAGAAAGAAAGAAAGAAAGAAAGAAAGAAAGAAAGAAAGAAAGAAAGAAAGAAAGAAAGGAAGGAGAAAGAAAGAGAGAAAGGAAGAAAGGAAGGAAGGAAGAAGGAAGGAAGGAAGGAAGGGAAGGAAGGAAGAAGACAAGGAAGGAAGGAAGGGAAGGGAAGGGGAAGGATGAGAAAGAAAGAGAGAAAGAGAAAGAAAGAAAGAAAGAAAGAAAGAAAGAAAGTTGTTGTTGTTGTTGTTGTTATATTAGCGAAGAGAAGAAAGAGAGAGAAAGAGAGAAAGAGAGAAAAAGAAAAAGAAAGAAAGAAAGAAAGAAAGAAAGAAAGAAAGAAAGAAAGAAAGAAAGAAAGAAAGAAAGAAAAGAAAGAAAGAAAGAAAGAAGAAAAAAAGAAAGAAAGAAACTTGCTGAAGTTCATATAGTTAAGAAGCAATAGAGTTTGGATTCTAATTCAGGCAGGCCAACTATAGAATCTGACTTCTGAGTGTTAAGATCTTCCTGCCGTTCCTGAACACCAACAAAAGTGTCTCTGCCACATATTTTAGTGCTTGTTTGTGTTTAACATAGCACTTGGTCTATTTATTTCTATTACTGTTACACTATAATGGTCTCAGGCCTGTGAATTTTGTTTCTCTGGTGAGATTATTAGACTTGTAGAAGACATAGGCTGAACCACCAATATTTGTTTCTCCTGGGGTGCTAGGCAAATAATAGCTGTTGAATACATATTTATTAAAATCAAGTCAAAGAAAGTAAAAATTAGAAAAATTACAGTGTACAGAGGAAAAGATAAATTTACCTTTGAATTAGTAACATCGTAGCATGAGTTGAAAAAACATCCATCAGTTAACACTTGCCTCTGTGGAATACCATGTGGCTTTACATTGTCTTCTCATCCATGATATCCTTTGCAATGCAAAGCTTTATTAGAGAGTTCAAAGAATATTTGGTATTCACATTTTACAAACTAGAATGCCAGGATTCAGAGAAGTAGTTGGCCACATTCACGTGCATAATAATAAATTTCTAATGTAACGGTGGTAGATAGTGGACATTTGGAGTCTAAAGAGATTGGATTCAAATCCATATATGGAATGCCCTAGAAAAAGAGACTTGAACTCTGAGGTCAGTTTCCACATCTGTAAAGTAGGGATAGCGTCTTTAATAGGGTTTTTATAAAGAAAGATATAATTCAGAAAGCAGTGAACACTTCCTAGCACCTAATAGGCCCTTAATACATAGTAACTATTATGAAAAGAATATAGTAATTATAGTGAATAAGAACATAGGCTTGGGAGTCACAGAGACCTAGGTTTAAATCCTAGCTCTGCCATTTACAAGCTATTTGACCCTGGGCGATTTACATAACTTCTCTGAACTTTAATTTCTTCACTTAAAATTGATATAAAACTTCCAAGCCCTGCTCTGATAAAGAAGTTTCAACAGGACTAACCCTCCTGCTAACTACAACTATAAAAGCTGCACAAAATCTGTAAAAACTGTTAGAACCCAATGTATAGCAATCAATGCAGGCAAAATATGAAAAGCTGTGATTCTGGAGAGATTCTGGAAAGGGGCTATCTTAGTCCATCTATGCTGCTATAACAAAATACCACAAACACAATAATTTATAAATAATAGAAATTAATTTCTCATGATTCTGGAGGCTGAGAAATCTGAGATCAAGGAACCAATGGGACTGATGTCTGATGAGGGCTGCTGTCTGCCTTGTTTTGTTTTGTTTTGTTTTGTTTTGAGACAGAGTCTTACTCCAATCCCCAGGCTGGAGTCCAGTGGCCCAGTCTCAGCTCACTGCAACCTCCGCCTCCTGGGTTCAAGCAATTCTCCTGCCTCAGCCTCTTAAGTAGCTGGAATTATAGGTGTGAGCCACCACACCCAGTTAATTTTTGCATTTTTAGTAGAGACAGGGTTTCACCATGTTAGCCAGGCTGGTCTCGAGCTCCCGACCTCAAGTGATCCGCCCGCCTCGGCCTCCCAAAGTGCTGGGATTACAGGTGTGAGCCACCGCACCCAGCTAATTTTTGTATTTTTAGTAGAGACGAGCTTTCACCACGTTGGTCAGGCTGGTCTTGAGCTCCTGACCTCAAGTGATCCACCCACCTCAGCCTCCCAAAGTGCTGGGATTACAGGCATGAGCCACCACGTCCAGTCTTGCTGTCTGCTTTCAAGATGGTGTCTTGTTGCGGCATCCTCCAAAGGGGAAGAATGCTGTGTCCTCACAGGGAGCAGAAGGGCACAAAGGAGACAAACACTGTCCTCACATGGCAGAAGAGCAGAAGAGTAAAAAGGCCTAAATTCGTTCCCTCCAGCCCTTTTATACAGCAGTAATCTATTTATCAGGGCAGAGCCCTCATGGCCTAATCACCTCCTTCAGGCCTCAACTCTTTTTTTTTTTTTTTTTTTTTTTTTTTTGAGACGGAGTCTCGCTGTATCGCCCGGGCTGGAGTGCAGTGGCCGGATCTCAGCTCACTGCAAGCTCTGCCTCCCGGGTTTTTACGCCATTCTCCTGCCTCAGCCTCCCGAGTAGCCGGGACTACAGGCGCCCGCCACCTCGCCCGGCTAGTCTTTTGTATTTTTTAGTAGAGACGGGGTTTCACCGTGTTAGCCAGGATGGTCTCGAACTCCTGACCTCGTGATCCGCCCGTCTCGGCCTCCCAAAGTGCTGGGATTACAGGCTTGAGCCACCGCGCCCGGCGCCTCAACTCTTAATACCACCACAATGGGGACTGTTTCGACATGAATTTTGGAGGGGACACATTCAAACCATAGCAGGGGCTATTCATTTTGGCTTTTTTCCCTGACAGTATTTTCCAGTTTATAGTGCAGGTGAATAGAGCCTGAGAAGAAAACGGCAACCTTACTGAGCTGAATAGGCAAAAGTCAGAATTCAGGACTGACAAAGCAGCTGGGATCTGAGGGTGAAATCCCAGAGACAATAGAGTCTGGGCACTGGGACCATATTCCTCTTAAATTATGAATCACATTGTAAACTGTATTATGCGATTAGGACTTCAAGACAAGCAGTAAAAAAAAAAAATCAAATCAACTGGAAGCCAAAAACTATGAGCAAATATTTCAGCCATCATATGGTACTGAAAAGATGAAGGTTGGAGTTCAAGCCCCATCAAGATGGGCAGGTCTTTGTAAAAAATCCTGAAGTACCTTAAGGGCTGTTAGGGAATAATAACAACCACCTTCTAGGAGTAAGGGCAACTCAAACAGGTCAATCATAGGAAAGACTATGACAAGATCAAGATGATTCACCCATACTCTATGTGCTTGCCAGGAGAAATTCAGACTCTTTGGAGAAAGATAACTTTATCTAGAACTTCTACAACTTTTATCTATTGTGCAAAAAATAAAAATAAAAATAAAATAAACAGGGATGATTTTAAAAGGAACAAGTCTTTATTTGACAATTAAATATTTTAAAATTAAAAGAAATTAGAAATAGAACCAAATGACTCAAAATCAAGAGAAAAGGATTAGTAGAAACAGATCCACAGATGATTAGGTAGTAAAGGTATCAGACAGAAACTTTAAAGGAACTATGGTTAATATGTTCAAAATAGTAAATAAAAATACAGATATTTGGCAAAGACCTGGACTCTATTAAATAATGTCAAATAAAAATCTTAAAACTTAAAATAGTGTAAATGATACTAAGAATTTGAAATATGTATTTAATAGAAGTTACAAAAGGAAGAACAGAGGATTAGTGAGTCATTTTGTGAGCTTAAAAAATATATATAACAAGAATAGCACAAAAAGTGAGAAGGGTAAATTGAGTTAAACTGTTGTAAGGTTCTTGCATCACTTGGAAAGTGGAAAAATACCAGTCTAAAAGAATCCATAATACATCCAGGATATGTAATGTAATTTCTAAGTAGACCACTAAAAACATAATAAAACAATATCTAATTAAAAAGTGAATAGAATAGAATAAATATAACAGAAATAATTATTTGACCCAAAAATAAACATAAAAAATAAATCAAATAGAAATTAAATAGCAAGATATAATTAAACACAACAATCTCAGTAATTAAATGTAAATTGAACAAATACCTCAATTGTAAGACATTGATTGTCAGACTGTATGAAGAAGCAAAATACACTTATACACTGTTCACAAAACATACTCTCTGCATATAAGGGCATAAAAGGATTGTTGTAAAGTATGCATAAAATATACCTTTAAAAGCGAAAAGCAAAAGCTGACAAAACAGAAAGAAAAGAGAAAAATGCATCATCATAGCAGGAAACTTAAGCACATTTTTCTTGGTACCTGATAAAAAATTAGTTGACAAAAAAAATCAATAAAGTAAATAATATGACTGTCATAATTAACTTACATATCTATTTCCTTTAGTATGAAAAAAATTAACATGATTAGTATATGTAGAACACTATTTGCACTAGTTCAATAACTGGAAAATACACAAAATTTTCATTTACAATAATAGATCAAATAATATATGGAAATGATGACTGAGACCCAGGATTGTCTGGGCAACCACATCCACTCACATGGTTTCAGCGGCTCTTCTGCTCAGATGCTCCCAGACTATCTGGTTTACGGCAATAGGCTCTTAGCTGACTTTTCTGCCACCTTTTCCCTTCAGTTCAGTCCATTTTTCCACATTGCTGATCTTTGCTTTATAGTGAAGAGCAGAATGTTTGCTTAGCTCTAAAGCTTCTTCCTCCCCCAGATTATCTGTTAGTTGCAAGGGAAAAAAATCCAACTATACAGCAGAGAAGTCAGACAACACCTTGACCAGGCGATCAAAATTAAAATCACCAGATGGTGGCAGATGAATGTGTGTGCCTCTAGATGTGATGCCCTGAGACGGACACAAAATCACTTACAGAGTATTCCATCTGGGAATGCATAGCCTGGTTCTATGAGGCTCTATGTGAAGAAATATCAGACAAACCCAAAATAATGAGTATTCTGTTACAGAGGCAAAGGAATCCATTCTTCAAAGACGTCAGTATTGTAAAATAAAGAAAGGCTTAGGAACTGTTCCAGGTTAAAGACTGAGTATATATAACAATTAAATAAAATATGTGACCAAAGACTGGATTCTACACTGAAGGCCAAAACCATTACATGGGACATTATTATTATATTGATTTATAGTTGTTGTCAGTTGACAAAATTGGAATCGAGACTATAGAGAGACAAACATCACATTGATGTTAAATGTCCTGAAGTTAATTACCGTTCTGTAGTTATACAAGAGAATATCTGTATTCTTAGGAAATACACAATGAAGTATAGAAATAAAAGTGCATGGTGTATCTAACTTATTATCAAATAGTTCAGGGGAAAATACATAGCTGTTTTTTACATATGTGTATTTTTACATACATATTATTTATATGGAGAAAGAAAGACAATACAGTGAGAGGTGACAGAGCATGCAGAGAGAGAGAGGATGATAAAGTGAATGAGAATATCCTAACAATCAGTCAGATAAAGGGTATAGCAGAAAGACTTTGTATTATTTTTGTACCTTTTCTATAAGTTTAGTTATTTTTAAATAAAATGCTTTCTAAAAATGAGAGGAGAATAGCTTAGTAGTTTTCTACAATGTATGTGCATCTTTAAACGAAGGTAAACATGAGAATGGCCTGAAGACTTGGTAAAATGCAGATCCCTAGGCCTGCCTTCCACTACCAGCCCCAGAGGTTCTAAATCCATGGATCTTTTTAATAAGCTCTAGGGAGTTCTGAAGTTTGAGACATATTCACCTAGTATATGTCCTGAGAGTGGAATGTTGGTGATTTTACGGAGTCCAAAATTTTATACTAAATAAAGTTATTTTCTTTGCAATTCTTTCTTTAATCTTTCTAATGATATCAAGAAAACAGTCCATATTTGGAGATGGTTCATTTTTAACACCTCCTAAAACATGTACATCTTCCCCGTAACAAAGAGAGAACAGGTTACCAGTTCAGAACTTCTGCAACAATATTGAGTTAAAAATTTAATAAAATTATCACAAATATGTTATTTTTCTATGTGTGGTAACTGATAATAGTTTAATATTAACACTAGTGATACAAAGTTTCTCTTAAAAATTAGTTAATGTAATGGACTTGACTAAAAAAACTATTATAATAATACAGGTGAAACAGATATGACAAAAATTCTAATTACGATAAAGCAAATGACTGAAGTTTAGAAAACACAACCCAGAAAGAAAGATTCTGGTTCAGATTGTCCCAAGTCTCCCTTCCAAGTTCACCTTTCACTACTCCACGGATCCTCATGCAGATTTCCAGCTCCTTGAGCAAGCCCTGCACTCTCATGGGTCTGGCCCTGTGCTGCTCTTTCTACTTCCTGAGTCTCCCTTATCTCCGCCTCATCCTGACCTCAGCCGGTTCTGTTCTGTGAAATGATTTTGTCAATGTAGAGAAGATATAAAGGTCTGGCTCTTTAAGAAAGCAGAGGGTGGGGTGGGGGGTTACAAAACATGTATTCCCTTGAAAAAAGAGCCCTGAGTCAGTGAGATAAGAATAGCCAGAAGAGCAGTTCTACATCTAGGAATGTATTTGGGGGTAATAATCAGAGGAGCACACAAATGATTGTGGGCATTGACATTTCTTGCCATGTAATATATAATAGCAAAATACTAAAATTATCCATGTCCAATAACAGAAGACTGGTTAAATAATATAATCCCTTATATAAAAGAACCATGGTTTATTTTACCAATAAAACCCATACATTTAAAGCATGTTTTATGATAAGGGGGAAATAGTCAAGGATGTAATAGACACTTTGATTTTCTCCCCACATTCAGTTCATCCTTTCTGTTTTACATGGCCACAAAATATTTGGAGAGATTGAACTCATCTCCAAAAGGGCTCTAATTTCTCTAAGCCGGTGGCGCTCAAAGTGTGGCCTCTGGACCAGCAACATTAGCACCACCTGGAAGCTTGTTACAAATACAAATTCTTGGGCACCATCTTGATCTACTAAACCAGAAACACTAGAGGTGGAGCCCAGAAATCCATGTTTTAACAAGCCTTCAAAAGGATGCTGATGTGTGGTCAAATTTAAGAACCATGGATCTAGGCCATCTTGGTAAACCAATCTCTTACAGCTTGGTTCGGGAATGAGCACATTACTCAACAGGGGCCAAAGAGACATGAAGGACAATTTGCTGGGAACTTCTGGGAAAGGTTTTTCCATGCTTAAGGGAGTCAATAGGAAGAAACAGCCCTTCTTCTCCTGGCCTCCTTTGGGTACAGATGTGATGCCTGGGATTGCTGAAGCCATGTTGCCTTATAAATTAAAGCAGAAACTGATGGAGGAGAAGACAACAGAGCTGAGAGACACAAAATGGAGGCAGAGCCACTGGGTTAAGGGAATCCTAAATTCTATGCTACTTCTGGATTTTCAGTAATATAAGCTAATCTCTTTCTTCATTTTAATCCCAGTTTGAGTTGATTATTTCATCACTTGTAGTTACAAATTCTCATCTGCTACACCGTGTAATACTAAGCTTTAAACACATATATAGGGAAAAAATACTGGAAGAAAAGATATTTAACATATAAATCCTTGTTTTATCTAGGTCAAAGGGTTATAAAACAGGGTTTTTTCCATGTATTTTTACAACTTTTTGATAATAATTACTTTTATAATCATGAAATATATTTAAAGATAATAGTTGGAGGAGGTTATTTTAAACGTGTTCCTTTTAAAACAGAGTCAAGAACCACTAAAACAACAGAAGAGATCATGAAGACAAGTAGTATGGGACCCTGGGCAGATGGCAAACCAAAGGAACCAAGAATACAGAGTACTCAGAATTAGTAGCAGTGAGGTGTTAAAGAGATAATTAACACTTATATTCCAAATAGCAGCTGAATATAAATGAGAACAGATGGGGCTCAATAGCTATGAAAAGACCCAGGGCAGCACAAAGATAAACAAGCAAATATTTAGAGAAAAGAGATTTATAATTAGGAGCACTGTGCTCAATTTGTGCCAGAGGTTTCATTTCCTTTAACCCTTGCTCCAACTCAGTTATTCCAGGATTTATGACAATTAGCTACCTATATTCCTAGTATCTATTGCTTATTATACCTAACAAGTATTACATGCTTACTATATACCAAACACTGAATGTATATTATCTCACTTAATTTTCTTTGAGGTAGGTACTATTCAGGTTAGGTTGCTAAAGCTTAGAGTGGCTAGCGCCTTATCCAAATTTACATATGTGGAAAATGATGAAGCTGAAATTTAAACTGTTCTGACTCCAGAACCTGCCTGCCTTCCTCTATGCTACCATGGCAACCAACAAATGTTTGTGGAATAATAAATGTCATTGTACACATTACCTTGCTTTGTGTGCTACTGTCAAAATAAACACTTCAAAGCCTTCTCACTCTTTGTTATCTGTGAAGCCTAAACACTCCTGGTCAGAGACAAATGCAATTTTTTTATTGAATGGGCACCCCTGATGAAAGGCCATTTAGAGCCTCCCAAAGGACAGAAGAGAGAAAACCTGAAGCTTGGAGCTCTGGACAGACAGTAAGTTAGATAAATATATTTTCAGGGTTCAGAGTTAGTGAGCTCCAATGAGGGATCACCTATCATTTCATGGACATGATGAGAGTTACCTAGAAAGGATTGAAAGAATCTCAGCCTGCAACTCAAGCCCTGTTTATTGATGGGTACTACTTAAGGAGTAAATTGAACCAGATCAAGAGAAGCTGAAAAAAAAAAAAGAATATCTGTCTAAAGAGGAAAGCAACTCAAAAAAAAAGAGTGAAGATTAGTGGGGTAGACAGATGCATCATTAACCTATTCTCTCCCTAGATGCAGTTGTTCCACTAGCAGCTCCTTTCCAAGAGGACAGATTCTGAATGAAGCCACTGCACTCCAGCGTGGGTGACAGAGCATGACTCCACCTCAAAAAGAGAAAAAGAGAGCGAAGCATTATGGTAACCACACGATGCTCAGGAGGAACTAGTACATCCTGGGCCCCTACTTCCTTATATCTAATGAGACTTGGCTGTCTTCTTCGAGTGTACCCCCAGCCTGGGGTACAGCACCAGGAAAGAAAGCCTAGCCAGAGAAGCTTTCACAGTCTCATTGTTACTACTCTGAAAAACAATATGGATGACACGGTACCACCAGTTTCCCTGGCTCCCGCAAAGTTGGTGCTTGAAGCCACATCCACTATAATTGTCACTGAAAGCTACTTGGAGACAGAGCCTGCTCTTGGCTGAGACATGCAGAGAAGGAACAGGGCAGAGAAGAACTTTGCTTGTAGGGAAATAAAAAGGTAGCATCAGGACCCTGAGAGCCAGCTGGCTTTTAAACAATTAAGCTCACTTGGGAAAACAAAAGTTATATCTTACGATACTTTCTACTATGACAGTTCTAACTGGGGTTTTCTGGCTTTCTGTTGGCACTGGGTTTGGCCATTTAGGAGGTTGATGGTCAAGAGGATTCTAGAATTATGGTGGGGAAATGAACAATCTAATCTACCATACTGGATTATAAATTCAAATGTACAGAGACTAGGTGTGTTTTCTTCACCAGTGTATACTCACCAGAGTAGGGAATGAATGGACACATGCATACTAACTTTCTAGAAATGCCTTAGAATCTCAGGTTGGAAAGTGACCTGAAAATATCTACCTCACCCTCCATAAAATTAGGGACCCCTTTTACAACATTCTTGGCAAGACTGCATCCCATGTCAACCAGCTCACTAATCCTTTACCTCACTCTAGGAAACATATTTCATATTCAGATGACTATGTTTTTTTATTCGCTACTTTTTATTT